CCTCATCTCTACAATAAATCAAAAATTAGCCGGGTGTGGTAGCGCATGCCTGTAGTTCCATCTACTTGGAAGGCTGAGGTGAAAGGATCACCGGAGCCCAGCAGGTCGAGTTTCCAGTGGCCGGGAGCGGCCACTGCACTCCAGTCTGGGTGACAGAGTGAGACTCCAACTCAAAAAACAAAACAAAACAAAACAAAAAACCTATAGATCAATTTGGGGAGAACCGATATCTTTACCATGTGGGATCTCCTAATTCATGAACATGGAATGTCTTTCATTTACTTCAATTATTTGATTTCTTCCATCAGCATTTTGTAATTTTCAGCATACAGATCCTGTATATGCATATTGTTATGCATATACAATATAGTCCTTTTTTTGAGTGATTGTAAAGTGTATTTTTAAATTTTGACATCCCCATGTTTATTGTTTGTATATAGAATTGAAATTGCCTCTTTTGCATTTAATTTATTTCCTGGGACTTTGCTGAATTCATCTATCATTTCTAGGATTAAAAATATAGAATCATGGGAATTTTCTATGTAAGCAATTATGTCATCTGCAAATGGAAATGCTTTTATTTCTTCCATTTTAATCTGTGTGCATTTAATATCTTCTTCCTGATTTATTGCAGTGGCTAGACCTTATAGTACTGGGTTGAATAATCGTGGTAAGAGCAGATACTTTCGCTTTAGAGGAAAAATGTTCAGTTTTTTGCCATTAAGTGTGATGTTACTTATAGGTTTTTTGTAGATACTCAGTAAATTTGGGTTATTTCTCCTCTATTCTTAACTTGCTAAAAAAATTTTCCTCGTTAATGTGTGTTAGATTTTGTTAATTGCCTTTTATGCATCATTGATATGATCATATAGTTTTTTTCTTTACCGATACGTTAAATTACATTCATTGATTCTAGAATGTTGAACTAGCTTTACACTTCTGTAATAAATTGCACTTGGTTTTGTATATATTTTTAAAAACACTGTTGGAATTGGCTTGTTACTATTTTGTTGAGAGGTTTTCTGTCTGGGTTCATTAGAAGTACTTGTCAGTAGTGTTTTTTTAATTGTCTTTTGTCTTGGCATAAGGGTAATAGTGTTCATATACTACAGTGTTACAACCTCATGGAAAGAATTGGCAAGTTTTCCTTTCTGTATTGTATTGTTTTGTATTGCATTTATTTATTTATTGAGTTGGAGTCTATGATTACAGCTCACTGCAGCTTCCATCTCCCAGGCTCAGGTGATCCTTCCACCTCAGTCCCCTGAATCACAGGTACTATAGGCACACACCACTCCACTTGGCTAATTTTTTACTTTTTGTAGAGAAAAGGGTCTCACTATGTTGATCAGACTGTTATCAAATTCCTGGACTTTAGCAGTCGTCTCACCTTGGTTTCCCAAAGTGCTGGGATTACAGGCATAAACCACTGCACCCAGACCCTTCTCTATTGTATTCTCTGAAACAGATAATTCAAGCTCGGTGTTAGTTCTTCTTTAAATGTTTGGCAGAATTTTTCAATCAAATCATTTGGGCCTGCAGACTCATTTGGGAGAAGCATTTTCATTACAAATTTAATTTATGTATTAGTTTTAGGGCTACTTTAGTTATTTATTTCATCTTGGTTGAGTTTTAGTAGTTTGTGTTTTTTGAGCAGAGTCCATTTCCTTTAAAATGTTGAATTATGATCACTTAGCTTCTTGTACTTTTTGTTAAAAAAAAATCCTTTAATGATTGCAGGATCTGTAGGAATGCCTTCTGTTTCGCTCCTGACAGTGGTTTGGGTCTTCTTTGTTTTTATTTTGTCTGTCTTGCAAGATAAAATTGTTTATCAGTTGTATTGGTTTTTTATTCAAGAAACAATTTTTTGTTAAATTTATTCTCTATAGCTTTCCTTTATTAAATTTCATTGATTTCTGCTGTTTTCTTTATATATATAAATACATGTATATGTTATAAAATATATATCTGTTTATATATTTTTTCTAGTTTATTTGGATTTGTTTTGTTCTTTTCTATTTCTTTTTTTAAAATTTATTTTATTTTTTTATTTTTATTATTTTAGTTGGAGTCTCACTCTGTCACTCAGACTGGAGTGCAGTGGCTGCTCCCAGTCACTGCTGCCTCGACCTGCTGGGCTCTGGCGATCCTTCCGCCTCAGCCTTCCAAGTAGCTGGAACTACAGGCGCGCGCTACTATGCCCGGCTAATTTTTGATTTATTGTAGAGATGAGGTCTTGCCAAGTTGCCCAGGTGGGTCTTGAACCCACGGGCTCAGGCAATCCACTTTTCTATTTCTTGAAACAGAAATATAGATGGTTGTTTTAGATACCTCTTAATTTCTAATGTAAGCATTCAGTAATAAGCTGTAAGTGCTTTGATATATTATATTTTTATGATGCTCTTTGTATCTTTGGGGGAATTCTTCTTTGACCATAGGTTATTTATAAGAATGCTATTTAACTGCCACTGGTTATAAATTTTCCTGTTGTCTTTCTATTTCTGATTTCTAGTTTGATTTTTATTATGTTTAGAAAACAAACTCTGGCTGGGTGTGGCTTATGCCTATAATCCCAGCAATTTGGGAGGTGGAGGCA